GAAGTTAGCAGCCCACATGTCGAGTCGGAGGAAAGAACCGCAGGGGAGCGGAAGGTTACGCTGCGGCCGGAGCCCTTGCGAGCGGCTTCTCCAAGGGCTGCGTTTCGGAAGGGGACGCGGTACCTCCACCCAGCGGCCGGAGGATTTACTCCGGCTCGCCGCTTCGTTGCCACGCGAAGACTTTGGTCGTCGCTGCCAAGGGGAGCGGCGTGATCTTTGGAGCCGTCCACGCTCCGCAAAATGCAACGTATTGGTGTCCGGCTAACCCCACATAGACTCTTCCGTACTGTAATGCCTTTTGGTGGGCGGGGAAGGCAAGCAACGCGCTCAGATAAAAGGTGGTTTGGGTGATTTGTGGAGCGAAACCAACCGGGTGGAATAGTCGATCCCTGCAGCCTGGATACGAAAGGACTTTAACCCAGGAATGCGCCTCTTTTGTGGCTGATACCCCGGTTTGAGGTTGCATTGGTACCGACATTTTAAACCCTTTCTGACACTTTTGATAAGGAAGCTCTATCAGCATCATAGCCTCAGGTCTTGTATTTGCGCAGTCAAAAGCTTCAGAACAGGAAATAACCTTGTCCTTAAGTACTTTATTTTCTTGCCTTGCATAAGTGCAAAGCCCTGGACTCAAGTATTTATTCCAAGCATTTTCTCTAGCCGCTCTCAGGGGCTGTTTTACTGTGTTAGACTCCAATACTATTCCATTTAGATCATGGAAATGTTCAGTAAAAATAAATATTTTTCTACATTAGGATTAGGAGATAAGACTAAAACGATTCCAAAATATAATTTAATCCAAAAACCACCTGCAAAATAAAGTACAGTGGAATGAGGAAGAAAATACACATATACTTTACAAATAATAGGACTAAATTAGCAAAGGATCAGAATACTGATCTAAATCCAGCCTCACATTTTTAAGCACCTAACAATTGCATAATAGTTAAAATAGCTTAGGGTATGATTAGAACATACTGTTACAAATGGTAATTAAACAAATGTTTGTGTTTTAGGAGTAAGTATATATAATTACTAAGTATACAGATAGTCCTTCACTTATGGCCATTCATTTGGCAACTGTTCAAAGTTATGATGGCACTGAAAAAAGTGACTTATGACCAGTCTTCACACTTATGACTGTTGCAGCATCTCTGGTCACATGATCAAAATTTGGGTGCTTGGCAACCAGCATGTATTTACCATGGTTGCAGTGTCCCAGGGTCACATGATTGCCATTTGCGACCTTCCCAGTCAGCTTCCCACAAGCAAAATCAATGGGGAACCACCTGATTCATTTAATGACTGTGATTTGCTTAATGACCACCATAAAAATGTTGTGAAATTGGGTGTGGTCATGTGATGCCTCGCTTAATGACTGCACCGCTTAATGATGAATTTTCCAGTCCCTATTGTGGTCGTAAGTTGAAGACTACCTGTACAATATGTACTTAATAAATAATAATGCTTTACAACTTAGTCATGAGCCTTAAGTACAACTATAACTTATTTTAAAATAAATTCTGGTTAGCTATTTTGTGTAAATTTTAATCAAGTCTGCACTTTGTAAGTTTACTCTCTAATAAATGATAATCAGGAATGTAATCTTCAAAGGTTATACAAAACATGACTAACATTCTTTTATATTACTTAGTTTGCCTTGGCAAACAATTACATCCATTTGCTGTTTTCATATTTATTTGTCATATCTTTCAGCAAAGTAAGTCAAATTGTCCCATTTGGTTAAGGGAGGAAAAAAGGTTTTTTTTTTAAGGGCCTCAAGGGGCTTTAGAAATTATGAACCATCTATTTCAGTAATAGACATTTTACAGAGACAAAGGGCCTTCATCTCTTACTTTGGTACAGCAAAATGCTATTCATTAAAATAACTCTTGGTCTTTCTATTCAGCGGAGGATTCAAATTACAGTGGCATCTGCATCTTTCGCAGCAATTTCACTATTACTCAATATAGTACTGAAAGATAAGGTAAAGCAAACTGAGATGGTATAATTATTCTGATCAATCAGAGTGACTTGGCCATCTAAAACAGCTACTTTAGTTGTCTCAAAAAGGAATCCAATAGTTGTTTTCAGTGATTAGAATTATATTTTTATTCCCAGGGGTACACACAGTATTTTCTGCCTTATCCTGCAAAATAACAGGCATGGTATTGTGCAAATGGGAAATGCTGTTTGTTATTCCACTTCATGGAGCAAGTATTTTTGACTAGGCCTGATCGGTCACTTCCCCCAGTTTATCATTTTCAAATACTGTTCAAATAAACACACTCTATATTGAGTGGTATGTGTTTCTTTTGTATTTTTATTATTAGAAGTAAACAATTTTATTGAACAAAACAGGACTCCAGAAAAAAATAAATAAAACCCAATAAGCCAGATACCATTCCAGGGCAACAAGTACAAATAACTCCATTTATTGTAGCCTGTAGTTCTAAAGCATTTCTGCTGTTAAACCAGTAGAATTTCTTCATAATTTCCATTCAGGCTACAATATTAGAAACAAGAATTCCAAAGCATTTTTTGCTACCACTAATAAGATACACTATCATACTTACAAAAATACATGCATATGGAGTCCAAACCCTTCCTGTGAAACATACTTTCAATTATTTACCATGTTTCTACTATGATATTTTGAATAAGCTGTGCATGTAAGTTTCTACAAAGGTTTTCTAGAAAATCTGTGGTTATTTTAGGAAGATAAATGATCTTCTGTTTGCAAAATCTGAACCTATTAAATTCATTCTTTTGGTCCTTGTGTCTTCTTCCCATAACTATATATTTTATTTTATAGAAGTGATTTCACATAACAGGTCATTTAGGTAATTTGGTAATTGGACACAAGTAGGAACACTTATGACTCATGTAATCTATAAGAGAATTACAATACATGTCTAATGGCAAGGAAAAAGCCATGGTTGGGATTTAGTGACCATACCAAAGTCCAGGTATTCAGTTACTGGAAAAATTGTACAAAAGGCAAACTGCTTTCTCCCACAAGTATTATTTCACATTCAAATCACCTATAAAAAATAGGCCTCTTCAAGGGCTATGAAGTTCTCAGTGAATACCACTGTTTAAATTTATGCATGGAGAAAACTGTCATACTTCTATAAATGTACAGCTGATTCTTCCATAAAAGCCTCATTACTGGAGTCTTCCAAATCATTGTTTTCAGAGTCTTCTCCTGTGCGTTTCATGCCCCGTTGTTGTGAAATAGATAGAATGTATTTCATGTTATAACAATTCCAGTCACAACTGCAGAAACAAAAATGATCAGAAAAATAAGTCAAAAGCTATGCTAAACATGCCCACATGTATAAAAATATAGCAAATAATCAGAGGCAATGAATTATGTGGTTAATTCAAATACAGATCACTCAATTACTCAACACATTATTCAATACTTTGAAGAATCTGAATGTTATCCTATGATATTTGAACTACAATGCCTTATTTACATATACAGTTCCTAATCAGATGTACAACTTAGCTTTATACTGGTTACTGCCTGTTGCAAGGTATTCTAATGCAGAATATGAGAGTAAATCAGGGAAGCCTCTACTTTTTCCACCATCATTAGAAGGTCTAACATATGATATTGCATATGTGGACTGTTGCTCAATATAGTAACTCTGGGCTACAGAGAACAAGGAATGATTAAGGGCCCAAAGAAAAATCAGGAAAAGCTGTCATTTACTCTGATTACAATGTGCCATAAGTAATGGGAAAGAGAGAGAGAACAATTTTTTTAAAAAATAAAATGACCTTATAGTACTGCTATTCTCCCCGACTAAGTAGAAAAAAATCAAATAAAATACTTACAGTTTAGAAAGGTCTTCAAAATGTTTCTGAATGCTCTTCTGAAGAAACTGAACAATAGGCAGCAGTTTATCTGATCTGCAAAAAGACAAACATACAGTCATTCTATAAACTAGCACTGTGCAAAGCTTTTGAAAGAGGTGTTAGCATAAAAACTTTGAAGCATTAAAACATCCACATCTTTTGCAAGACTTCTATAACTGCTTCAGATGCTACAAGTAGTCCTCAACTTACGACCATTCATTCAGTGACCATTCGAAGTTATGAATCTGCTGAAAAAAGTGATGACTGGTGTCCTAAGTCATGGCCATTGCAGCACCCCCACATTCACCTGATCAAAATTTAGGCACTTGGCAGCCTGCCCGCACTTACAACTGCAGGAGCACTTCAACTCCCCTCACCTGCCTATCTCCCCCCATCTATGCCCTCATGGCCCTCTGCCGCCCTGCGCTCCACCACCCCAGCTGACCTTTGGCATCTTCTTGCTCCAAAAAGCCCCTTTGCAAAAAGCTCCTGGATGGGGCTGGGCTGGGCTTTTGCTTTGCGTTGCGAAGAAGAAAAAAAAGTCAACCCAGGAGCACTGCACAAAGTGGCGTTTGGCATGCTGCTGTTCAGGGGCTGCTTTTGCTTTTCTTTTTCACAGCGCGAAGCTAAAGCCCAACCCAGCCCCACATAGGAGCTTTTTGCAAAGGGGCATTTTGACACGCCACACTCCAGGAGCTTTTTGCAAAGGGGCTTTTTGGAGCAAGAAGACAGCAAAGGTCAGCTGGGGCAATGGAGGGCAGCAGAAGTCTCGGAGTGCAGGGTGGTGAGGGCAACTGTGGCTGGGACTGGGCTGGGGTGGCTGTGGCTTCCAGGGGCATGGCAACCATCCCCAGAGCCGCGCAGTTCTGGGACTGCTTGCTGCCCCA